AGGTGAAATGGGGTTTAACGTCACGTTACAGGTTACTGTAGTCTGTACAACGACATTTGTGTGTGCGTGTGTGCGTGCGTCCGTCCGTGCGTGCGTGTGTGTGTGCACTAGCCCTGACTAATGCCGGTTTCATAAAGCTAGCCCACTGAGATATCATGCCACTGTTGAACATACAGTATATACCCCACTCAGACACAGTGTACTGACTCCGAGCCGACCAGTCCTTCACGACAGGCTCTGTAACAACAAGTAGCAGCTATCTTTTACCATCGTTCGTTAGCACGCGGCTTGGGGGTCGTACCCTGGACCTTCCGCTCTCTGGGCCGAAGCTCTCTCCCACAAGAACACGGGGGCCAAATGGAGGAGGAAGAAAAGGACCCTTTCTGGCCGACTGAAAATGTCGAAATGACTTTGTAATCGTGGTTTGAGTGAGTGAGTGAGTGAGTATGGTTTTACACCGCTTTTGCAATATTCCAGCAATATCACGGCGGGGGACACCAGAAATGGGCTTCACACAATGTACCCATGTCGGGAATCGAACCCGGGTCTTCGGAGTGACGAGCGAACGCTTTAACCACTGGGCTACCCGACCGCCCCAATCATGGTTTGAAATTGATCAAATATGTTCAAATGGTTGACAACTATCTTCTTTTTTTCTTTTTTACACCTGTTTTTTGTGTGTGTCTTTTTTACTTCTGCTGTGTAGCGTATACAGGAATGGCAAAAATGAGCGAAACAATGCGATGACCCAACATGACCTAACGTGAATTTCCTAAATTTTCGCATACATTTCACTGTCCTTATATACATCGCTTAAGAAAATCAGCTTGAGTGAAAGACTTGATCATAGTCAGATTTTAAACACATACTTCCGGATAACCTGTACAATCAGCCTTTTCGACTTATTTATCCGTATATGTTTAGTTTTGTTAAGTAAAAAACATGAAAGTGTTGAAATGGACAGTCAACAGTCCTCGCCACTTGAATTAGAATCACGAAATAGCGCGATCATTACTTACCGAAGATGGCTAATGTGTGTCAATACTTATAAAGTGAAAACAAGTCATTCCCCCGATAAGGAATTATATTACTTACAGTTATGACAAAAAATGCCAAGTCCACTTTTCAGGAAATATCCAACTTGCTGACAATAAACATTATCATTGTTTTTTTATCACGTGGTTACAATCCGGGCGAGGATCAGCAGTCACGTGACCGCCGTTATATTTAAGATTGCGCGCATCTCGAAATAGGTTCACAGCGTTTTGAAGACATCATTTTTAGACATTTATTTTATCTTTCTGTTTGTGTTGGTAAACGTACAACAGACTTCCTCATAAGTCTTCTCAAAAAGTCTTCTAAAAACTCTAAAGAACTTAAACCACTGACATGTGCTTGCTGACGTTAAACCAGGAAGTAATGCACTTTTTATTACTAAGAGGATTAATCTGGTTTCGAAATGAATTATGTCCAGTCATCAAACACTATTTCAAAGCTATAATCAATAAAAGTAATATCTTGACATTTCACTACTCCCGAAGATTGTTTCTGACATCCGACGAACAAATGGCAAGGGAGGGGATTTGATAATAAACATGGATATGTGCTGGAGAGCAGGAGGACGTAAACACAGTCTGTCGTAAACATAGTAAATTAAAGATTAAGCTAGTTCAGCCAAATATTAGTTATTGACATACGCTTTTAGCGTAGAAAATCAATCACAGTTTTCAAGTTAATTTTCTTTAATAAATCAAACTTACGAAGGACAGTGCAGTGAGAATTAATAAAGACGAAATTACTCAGTTTCTGTACAATCTTATTCCGTACGCTTCTGCTGTAGTAAGTTAATGTTCAACGCCTCACTGAGCAATGTTGTTTGTTTCTTGTTTGTTTGTTTGTTTAACACCGCACTTAGCAATATTCCAGCTATATGTCGGCAGTCTGTAAATGAACGTGTCTGAACAAGACAAATACAGTGATTGACATCATGAGCATCGATCCACGCAATTGGGATACAATGGCATGCATCAACCAAGTCAGCGAGCCTGACCACCCGACCCCGTTAGTCGCCTCCCACGTCAAGTATAGTCGCTTTATACGGCATGGATATTCTAACCCAGATCTTCACGGGTCAGTTAGCAATGTACAGATATAATTATACGAACATATGTGTCCTACTTATTTTAAGAAACGAGTGTCAAAATGCTTGTTCTTCCCGAGTGAGAGTAATACATGAATTCTTACACGAGTTCTTAAAATCAGTATTAATCTTTTTGAGCAACTCTTCAGAACAAATATTGCATTGATCACGACCGCCGAATTAGAAAACCATAATTGTCGAATGACGTCAACTTCTTCAGCTATGATGTCATTTCTAGTATAACATCATTCCGACCTTACGTCACAATAATATTCAAATGACGTCAACAATGTCGTGCGAATGACGTCAACAACACACTGACGGGCTTGAAGTGATACGAACGTATTTGCACTCGTGCACATAAGAATTTCACGAACACGTTTTTTCTGACCCTATGAGTAATAATCCAGTTATATCATCATGGCCTTTAAAACGACATAGAGGCAAACCAGTGGTTGATAGTATGAACACATATCAGGGATCCGATAGCACACAATCAGCCAGCTCGGGCATTGTTATCATCAGATTCCCTTAATAATCAGCTCCATTGCCAAGCATACAGTGCTGACGACTTTGCCTGCCTGGGAAACATGTTTATTAAAGGGTAAGTTAAGTCAAAATAGCAGCTTTTGAAATTTCAATTAGGAGATAAACATAGTGTGTTTTCAATGTAGAGCTATGTAGAGCTAGGTTACCTGTAGATTTAACCGCGCTAAATTGAATTTGGAACCGAACACGCAGCGTGAAAAATCTGAAAATTCGAAATAGCGTTAAAAGACGATAAAAACGACACAAAACAAAACTTGTCCAGCGCCTATGGTGATGTGATGTGAGTGTGGTGATTGGTGAGAGGTGAGGTGAAATTGGGTTTAACGTCGCGTCCAAGATTATTGCACTTATATAGCGACGTGCATGTACGTGTGTGTGTGTGGCTGCTTGTACTAGTCCGGACTGGGGGGCACGGGTGGCCCAGTCGTCTAAGGCGCCACAATCACCCACTGCCGCTATTGTCATGACAAACAGGTGCAACAAGGGAAATAACTCGTACTCAACTATTCTCCAAAGGAGTGACCGTTATAACTACATGTATTTCATTCAGTGCTATGCTTTATGCAGATGATAACAGATGGCACAACTCGTGCCCGCTGTTGTGATAACATAATTGAAGGGAAGCAACGTTAAGCGTTAGGGACTGAAATAACTTACCATTTTACAATTTGTTTTTACAAGTTGTCAGGGTTCTTTTTAGCTATGATTCTCTAGTCACTGTTCTTTGGTCACGATTTTTGTAACGATCCCTTAGTCGCAATTCTTTAATCACATTCTTTTGTCACAATTATCTATTTGGTAATGAATGTGATTGTCACGATCCTGTAGACACTATTTTTTGGTCAGTTTTCTTTGGTCACTATTCTTCAGTATTAGTTTGTTTGTTGTTTACGCCGCGAGAGCGAGGTACTACATGACTTCTTACACGAGTTTCGTAAGGTCAGTATGACAACAATTCGAGTGTAATATTTTCTTTATTACCCATTATTTCCTAATCCTTTAGAGCTCCAACAAGAAAAAAAACCAATGATCACGATCGCCGTCTTAGAAAACCACAATTACCGAATGACGTCAACAATCTTCAGCTATGATGTCGTTTCTAGTGTGACGTCTTCCCACATTCGTCACAATAAGATGGAAGTGACGTCAACAATCCCGCCAGAGCATTGACATAATACACTAGTATGCATGAAGTGATATTTGCACTAGTGCACATACGGTGTTTATTAACTCGCTTATTTCTAGCCCTATGGGTATTAATTCTCTGTAAGTCCAGACACCGTTTATCCGGCTAAACTATGACAAGCACAGTCGCCTTTTTACGGCAAGCATGGGTTGCTGAAGACCTCATCTAACCCGGATCTTCTCGGGTCTATCTCGTACGTAGCGAACAACAAGAACCATGGATGTGTATTTAATCATAGCTGTCAGGGGGCTTGTTCTATATTGTTGTCCATGTTTTGTAATAAGTTTTATCTTGTGGATTTGAATAAAATCTTCGTTTAAAAATATGTGCTACGAGATCATGCTATAAAACAAGGATAAAACTTGACGGGATATGTATATGTAGAATAAAACACGCGAGGGTCTTTTTTTATGAGAATCCAAGGGATAAAGGTTTTAATTCTTGTATGAAAACTTGATGGTAAGTGTTTTATCTGACTTAAATAACGAAAAAAGAAACTTGAAATAACATTTATCAAACATCCTATCCATGAATTTTAGGAAACGGGCGTAAAATATCTGTTGCTGGCGTACGAGTATTTGAAAAAGACATTCTTAAAAGTATTGTGATTTATCAGCGCGTCTGTAGCCTAGCGGTACATTCACTGGGAAAGAGATACGAAGGCTGCATGTACAGTCCGCAGGAATATAAAGAAAACATTTTTTCATTTGATTTTACATTTCTATTAAACTGTGTTGAAATGCAAATATTAATTTCCAGCGAGAAACATTCATATGTTACAAGTTGTATTTATATAATCCCAGGGATATTATATAAAATACCGTGTATATTATCACATCCCTGTTTATGAGATTTAACCCAACAGGAGAACACTAAGATGACGTCATCGGAGGTTTATAACCATGGCTGTACCAAAGTGGAACAATATACATAAATTTTGAAATAACAACCGTGCATTATCCTGACAAGGTATCCTCCCAAAACGTAGACCTGCCAAAACGCAGACCCGTTAAAACAACACTCGTTATGGCTGGTTGCATCAGTATTTCGTACCCTGTACCCTTATGTAAAATGGTATCACCCATGTAACAAGAAAGAAAGCTGGGTAGAGTTCACAATTTTTTATTCAAATGTTATTTTATTGTCATTTATGATTATCAGTCATTTTCACCTGTTTATCATCAGTGGACCAACTGCATCCAGGTACTGAAGGGGTGTCTTTTCACGGCGATGAAGCTGTTCCTTCTCTCTGTAGACAACCTTCCTGGGTGGCGGTGCTGCTCCAAATTGAATCTGCGCTAGTTTCGCTCTCTCCGAAATTTCTACCTTCTGGATCAGTTCGATAAATCTGAAGATGTTTGGATGCTGGTGCTGGGGGGACTTGCCGATTCTGGAGTGGAAACCTTCTAGGTTGGTGTTTGTACGGGGCCCTTGTGTCGCATGGTATATCCACGGTCGAGGTGGGAACCGGGCATCGTCATCCACCCATGTCGGCCTGTACTTAGCATACGTGTAGCCGTCTAGGAGAACTTGTGGGGCACCTTTCTGGGACAAGACATACTCAACTTTCGTAAGTCCGGCCATAGCTTAATTGGACGAGGTTGAAGCTCATGTTCAAATATATTTATATGTTATACCATACACAAGAGAAGGAAGTATTAGTGATTGAGAACATTTGGTATATTCTTACACAAATCCCACAACTTGTTTAAAGGTAATGTTTGAATAAGATTTGTGATGTACCGGGAGCAGATTAAAGAAAGGAGGAGTTTTTTAAGACAATGTTGTTGTTGTCCACTACTGTTCATTGTCTCAACATATTGACAATCCCTCATAGCAGGGGAAGTGGACCAGTCCATTCATTAATTAGGTGTGACCAGCATGGCCCAATTAATTAGTGAGCTAATTTTAACTGCTTTTTTGGAGGTCTGCATTTTGGAGGTCGACGTTATGGGAGGGAACCCCTGACAACATATGATCACATGATTCAAGATTCAATATATCCTCAATATCGATTGCAATATCAATCTCATGAAAATCAGATCTTAGTTCTCGCTATCGCTAAACAAAGCTTTGAGATCTGGTTTTAAGGAGATTGTTGCAATATCGTCTATGGCGCTGTAATTCGCTGTGCAGAGTTGCGTCCCTTAGGCGTGCCATAATGTTATGAATGGTTCGAATCCAAGCTCCACCCTGATAATGTACCTGATAGTTTTATCAACACTATGCCCGTACACGAGGGTTTCACCAAAAGTGTAAACATCAAAGACCTGCATCACTTCGGGCTTCCTCCCATGTTAAGATGATCCGTCGTCAAATAACTCAAATTATTTTCAAAGCGGCGTAAAACAACACTCAAACAACATCAAATGAGATAATACAATGCACAGTTAGAAAATGACGGCATTTTTATTTTAAAGTCTGCAGGAATAACAGCATCGGTTTCGCTGACCAGCTTTTATCGATCTATCAACAGTATTCACGCAAGACCGCGTCAATACCGGCAGGCCTCATTGTTCTCCCTGCATACGCTGGTGGCCTATCAGTCGTTACAATCACCAGCTGTTCATACGATGTCAGATTAATATACGCATTGAGTTCTCATGTTATAGTTTATCCTGTACACTATATAATAAAGATATGTTGTTACTGTCAGTATGACAGTCCTAAGTCTGACAACAATGGACGTGCTGGGGACAGATAATTTATTACATTTTTCATGACCCTCCGCGAAAAGACAAAATGGAAAAAAGGACTTTATATTTTGTAATTAAAAAAAGGCCATTTAATCATGACAGTGCCGAAATGCGGGTATATTCATTTTGACCCCTCCCCATCCCCACAACACTGTCATGTGCTTTGGTGATCGTCCACTGTTCCCTGTTTTTGTTTGATTTCCCTTTCTTGGGCGGTGGTCGTCGTTGGGGTGTTTGTGTAGATGGGGCGTGTGTAGGGGGCGTAGAGGGCTCACAGTTTGTATGGGGATGTCCTTGTTTGAATGAGTGAGTGAGTGAGTTGGGTTTAACGCCGCTTTTAACAGTATTCCAGTTATATCACGGCGTGTCAGCTTAATGTGGGAGGAAAGCCCGAAGTGATGCAGGTCTCAGACGTTTACCACTTCGGTGAAACCCACGAGCACGGGTATGGTGCTGACAAACCTAGAAACCTAATCGGGGCGAACCGGGATTCGAATTATTGAAAATGGTGTATGGGTATATGGATAGATCGTAACATCGTTAATGCAATTATCGTATTCAAAGCATCGAAAGCGGCGCGTAAATAAGGTTTATTTACATTTTGTCCCGTCTGTCAATTTCAAAAGTTGAAACGAAAATACAGCGGAGGCGGAGCCTTTATATACAGAAGCTCCATATATGGTCTTGTTGGAGGAAATTATCTCCAAAATTACACGCTTGGTCGCACAAGTTCGCCCCTCCGTTCACGCTCTAGCAGGCAGGCCTCTGATCACGGTCATGGTCGGCTGCACACGTTCCCAGCAAATCTAACCTTTTCTTCACCCTCTCAACTCTTAGACATTCTCCTATCCACAATTAAACAATGACCATCTGTACACTGAACTTTCCTTCGTATAAATGGGATTAAAGGATGGAAATATACCCCTCTTTCTTTCAATAACGGAAATGCGCCTCAAAAATTAAAAAGGAGAATATCTTACAATGTTAAAATTATATAATTCACGTTAAACCTAGGTGACTTGACACGACCCCACGAGCCATACTGTTGACATACATGGAATCCATACGAGTGTTATAATTTAAACAAAGTCCCCCACACCACGGACGGTTATACAGGTCCGTGCCCACACATAATGAAACGATGGCATGTATTCTGTCCCTGACTGGTGGCACCATCTTGCCGGCCGTGCTAATTAATGGGGCCTTTACACAGGATGTCGACCTTTGTGCCTCCCGTGTGCGACCATAAAATTTGCCAGGTCGTCGTTGGAGGCTCAAAGGAGGCATCCTCAGACATCGCCATGGACGACATGGTCGCCCTGAAGTTTTGAACATGTTCAAAACAGTCGCACAAAGGTCGCCGAGGAGGTTGGTTGCTCAAAGGTGGCAGAAGAGGGGCACAGACATTGCCTTTGTTGCAGAATGAAGGCACAGTGGTCGCCCTATGGTCGCCAGGTAATAGATGCGTTCTGCTGAAATATTTTCCCGTCAATCTGGGCGAGACTTCTGCCTCCCTTTTCCCTACTTTGAGCGACCAACAGCGTTCATTGAACGATGACTGTGGCGACCGCCGTGCCTCCATCAGCGACAGCGGCAACCCTTGAGACACCATGGCAATGCTTCTGCCTCTTTTCTGCCTCCTTTGAGCTACCTGTAGTGCCTCCTCAGCCTGCATATAAATATAGGGCTTGTACCTGCAGTGTTTCAGTGTGGTTGCACACGCTGAACAACTCGAGCAGTTACTGCTGAACAACTGCTGGAGCAGTTACATAGAAACATGATTTTCTGGGTTTAGGCGACCATTGAGCGTCCTGACCAGTTTGTGATCGCTCAAAGGCGGCACAAAGGTCGCAGCCCTGTGTAAAGGGGGCTTAAGCCACGCCTCCCCGTCAGCGCTTTTAAGATTCGTTTTTGTTACAAATACAGACCTGAAAATACGTACTTTTGATTAAGCACAACAGCGCTATGTTTATGTTTTCACACTATTCTTCTCTGCCATCCTTTTGTACATCATACCGATTACTATCTTTCACGATACTTGCATTTTAACATAGGCTTATACTAGTTGTAGCACTGCGTCTATTTTATCCCTGATGCTTTAGCATAGGCTTATACTAGTTGTAGCACTGCGTCTATTTAATCCCTGATGCTTTAGCATAGGCTGATACTAGTTGTAGCACTGCGTCTATTTAATCCCTGATGCTTTAGCATAGGCTGATACTAGTTGAAGCACTGCGTCTATTTTATCCCTGATGCTTTAGCATAGGCTGATACTAGTTGTAGCACTGCGTCTATTTTATCCCTGATGCTTTAGCATAGGCTGATACTAGTTGTAGCACTGCGTCTATTTTATCCCTGAAGCTTTAGCATAGGCTGATACTAGTTGTAGCACTGCGTCTATTTTATCCCTGATGATTTTGCATAGGCTTATACTAGTTGTAGCACTGCGTCTATTTTATCCCTGATGCTTTAGCATAGGCTGATACTAGTTGTAGCACTGCGTCTATTTTATCCCTGAAGCTTTAGCATAGGCTGATACTAGTTGTAGCACTGCGTCTATTTTATCCCTGATGATTTTGCATAGGCTTATACTAGTTGTAGCACTGCGACTATTTTATCCCTGATACTTTAGCATAGGCTTATACTAGTTGTAGCACTGCGTCTATTTTATCCCTGATGATTTAGCATAGGCTTATACTAGTTGTAGCACTGCGTCTATTTTATCGCTGATACTTAGGCATAGGCTTATACTAGTTGTAGCCCTGCGTCTATTTTATCCCTGATACTTTAGCATAGGCTTATACTAGTTGTAGCCCTGCGTCTATTTTATCCCTGATACTTTAGCATAGGCTTATACTAGTTGTAGCCCTGAGTCTATTTTATCGCTGATACTTAGGCATAGGCTTATACTAGTTGCAGCACTAGGCCTATTTTAACTCCGATACTTAAACATAAGCTTATACTAATTGTGGCACTAGGTCTAGTTTAACTCCCGATACTTTTAGATAAGCTTATACTAGTTGTAGCGCTAGGCCTATTTTAACTCCGATACTTTAACATAAGCTTATACTAGTTGTAGAAATGCGTCTACAGTAACTCCGATACTTAAACATAAGCTTATACTAGTTGCAGCACTAGGCCTATTTTAACTCCGATACTTTAACATAGGCTTATACTAGTTGTAGAAATGCGTCTACAGTAACTCCGATACTTAAACATAAGCTTATACTAGTTGCAGCACTAGGCCTATTTTAACTCCGATACTTTAACATAGGCTTATACTAGTTGTAGAACTGCGTCTACAGTAACTCCGATACTTTAACATAGGCTTATACTGGTTGTAGCACTGCGTCTATTTTATCGCTGATACTTAGGCATAGGCTTATACTAGTTGTAGCCCTGCGTCTATTTTATCCCTGATACTTTAGCATAGGCTTATACTAGTTGTAGCCCTGCGTCTATTTTATCCCTGATACTTTAGCATAGGCTTATACTAGTTGTAGCCCTGAGTCTATTTTATCGCTGATACTTAGGCATAGGCTTATACTAGTTGCAGCACTAGGCCTATTTTAACTCCGATACTTAAACATAAGCTTATACTAATTGTGGCACTAGGTCTAGTTTAACTCCCGATACTTTTAGATAAGCTTATACTATTTGTAGCGCTAGGCCTATTTTAACTCCGATACTTTAACATAAGCTTATACTAGTTGTAGAAATGCGTCTACAGTAACTCCGATACTTAAACATAAGCTTATACTAGTTGCAGCACTAGGCCTATTTTAACTCCGATACTTTAACATAGGCTTATACTAGTTGTAGAAATGCGTCTACAGTAACTCCGATACTTAAACATAAGCTTATACTAGTTGCAGCACTAGGCCTATTTTAACTCCGATACTTTAACATAGGCTTATACTAGTTGTAGAACTGCGTCTACAGTAACTCCGATACTTTAACATAGGCTTATACTGGTTGTAGCACTGAGTCTATTGACTCAGACTAACAAGGTTTCACTGTCCTCTGATTAATGAAAAACACCTCGACAACTAGGATGGGACCATGACACAAACATTGGCTTCATTTAAGATGTCAAGGCCTCTCTCTCCGGGAGGGTCGTGGTCAGTGATGTCTCACTGTCCGGAGGTCTTGACCTCGCACAGGTCATCAGTAAACCAAATATAGAGGTCAGGAGGAAAGACGAGGCTGGGGAAAAAAGAAACATCATAATGAATGTTAGAAACAACATGTAAATAGGTAGTAGGTTTGTGGTAGAGTCGGACCGCCTCCGTGGTCTAGTGGTAGAGCGTCCGCCCGGAGAGCGGAAGGTCCGGGGTTCGATCCCCGGCCGCGTTATACCAAAAGACGTTAAAAGATGGTACTTGCTGTTACCCTGTCTGACGCTCGGAATCAAGGGGCTAAAACAAGGACTGGTCGGCTTGGAGTCAGTATACTGTGTCTGAGTGGGGTATTCATGTTAAACTGCGGCATGGTATCTCAGTGTGCTAGCACTATGAATCGGCATCAGTCCGGACTAGTACAAGCAGCCACACACACACACACGTGCATGCACGTCGCTATATAAGTGCAATAATCTTGGACGCGACGTTAAACCCAATTTCACCTCACCTCACCTAGTGGTAGAGTCGATAGGGGAAAGGGCGTCGGGATAGATGGTATGCGTGCGTGCACAAGCAGGGAATGTGTCTTTAGGATAGGGTCAAAATATAGCTCAATGTTCAACACATACTGTACTTTGATTTCTCCCGAGTGAAGCGTCATGCATGACGTCCATTACATTTATAACATTGAAATTCTCACCTGAAAACATGAAAGCGGTGTGGTAATTCCCCGTTGCCTCAAGCAGCATCCCTGAAACAGTGGGTGAGGTTGAGTGAGTGAGTGAGTGAGTTGGGTTTAACGCCGCTTTTAACCTTCCACCTCGTAATTCATGAATGAATACGATGAATATGATGGATACGCGTGTATAGGTTCCCTGTGCCTACTTGTGATGCTGGTGTGTTTGTTGTTTAACGCCGCACTCAGCAATATTCCAGCTATATGACGGCGGTCTGTAAATAATCGAGTCTGGACCAGACAATCCAGTGATTAATATCATGAGCATCGATCCAGGCAATTGGGATTGATAACATGCATCAACCAAGTCAGCGAGCCTGACCACCCGATCCCGTTAGTCGCCTTTTACGACAAGCATAGTCGCCTTTTACGGCAAGCATGGGTTGCTGAATACCTATTCTACCACGGAATCTTCACGGGTCGGATTCAGAGGTACTTGCGGGAACAAAGGGCGAGGCGAAACAAATGTTCCCTTCCATACCCGATACATCCAGATACTTAGCCCTACTAATAGTACACACGTGTGTAAAGTGAATGATTCGTGCAAACGGCACTGTTCACTTTCCGCTCACGAACCCACGGCTCTGGCAGATGTGTAATCCTGTGTAAAACTCGAGCAGCATTGGGCAGTAGGGCGTTCGCTCGTCCCGCCGAGGACCCGGGTTCGATTCCCGACATGGGTACAATGTGTGAAGCCCATTTCTGGTGTTCCTCCCCGTTATTGTGCTGGAATATTGCTAAAAGTGGCGTAAAACCATACTCACACACTCACATTATCAGGATATAATGGTACACCAGGCAATTCAAAATGACCAACTCCCACTGAACCAACCGCCTCCGTGGTTTAGTGGTAGAGCGTCCGCCCGGAGAACGGAAGGTCCGGGGTTCGATCCCCGGCCGCGTCATACCAAAAGACGTTAAAAGATAGTACTTGTTGTTACCCTGTCTGGCGCTCGGCATTAAGGGGCTAAAACAAGGACTGGTCGGCTAGGAGTCAGTATACTGTGTCTGAGTGGGGTATTCATGTCAAACTGCGGCATGGTATCTCAGTAGGCTAGCACTATAAATCGGCATCAGTCCGGACTAGTACAAGCAGCCACACACACACACACACACGTACATGCACGTCGCAATATAAGTGCAATAATCACCTCACCTCCCCCACTGAACCAAATCATTGCTCGGTGCTCTAAAGTAATCCATACACTAACTGTCTCCGCACTTACCTGCAATGGGTCCCCCGATGAGGTAGCCCATCCCGCACGTGAACATCACCAAGCCCGTGGCGGATGCCAGATGATCTACTCCCACGACGGTATACGTTATCGGGCTGAAAAGGGTCCAGTTACCTCCATTATAAACTCCATAACAAAACGAAAATATAACCCTCAACATTGACGTCCGAGTTAAGGGGTATATGAGATACACAAGAACAGCGGTCAGACCGTTGGTCCCAGAATACAGAAGCGATGGTCCAATCTTTGGTTCCGTTGCCGCAAAACCGAGGCAGACCCTGGACAGGATGCTGCCGACACCGATGACTGATACTAGGGATGAAGCATGCTGGAAGGTGGCCCCCTGCTTCATCACGAAATCAGGGAGGTAGAGCTTGAGGGTGGAGCATCCGATTGTAAACGACATGACGCTCAACAGGTACAAGGAAAAAGTGGTGTTTAGGAAGATTGGCTTCGAGCACGTCCTGGCTTTGTTGAAGCAGGATTGACACCTTGAGGCTAGGTTCTCGTGGCCGGCTTTCCGCTCTGCTTGGTGTCTTGTACGCTCGTGTAGGGGAGGTCTCATGAGAGAACCACAGACGCAAGACTGGAAGGACAGTGCTCCGAGGAGAAGGAAGGTTCCTTTGAGTCCATACCCGTCCAAGAGCCACTGTGTTAGAGGGGGGAGAAGAAAGTTGCCGAGACCACAGCCAACTATCCCTATCCCGGTGGCTAGACTGGTCTGATTCTTGAAGTAAAACCCAAGCAGTACGAGACAGCCGGTGTAGCACAATCCTTGGCCTAGACCTAGGAGTACAAATTATATATTTAGAGAGAGAATTACATCGTTTTATTTCATCTATAAGAGAACAATAAGGTTTGGAAATATCCATGCTTCTTTATCACCGAGTTTGCTATTTGCGCTATTTGCGCCGCGATTCGCTGTGCAGAGTTGCATCCCTTGGGCACGCCAGAAACCTATGATTGTTGGGTCGAATCCCGGTTCGCCCCAACTACGTTTCTAGGTTTGTCAGCACCATACCCGTGCTCGTGGGTTTCACTGAAGTGGTAAACGTCTGAGACCTGCATCACCTCGGGCTTTCCACCCACATTAAGCTGACACGCCGTGATATATTTGGAATACTGTTAAAAGCGACGTTAAACCCAACTCACTCACTTTTGACACTTGTCTCTGATTACAACAACTTACTCCCTGGGTTGATCCAAGAAATACTGACGAAAGAAAATAGATCTGAACTTTTGCACATGAAGCGTCAACGCCAGAGAATGATCAATCTAGATTATCAGTCGAAATGATTTCCATTAGGGGTTAAAGACAAACTAACGGTGAAAATTATAGGAATGGACCACTGAAAATGAGTGATGCTATCAGTTGTTTACGAAAAGGGTGATCATGTTTTGACTTCCATGTGGCATCCGCCATTCCTACAATTTGCATAACAAAGGTCGGTGGATGTTGCCTGATTCTGAACAACACTACTCCTGAATTGCGGCGGCGGCGGCCTGTAATCGAGTCTTGACCAGATAATCAAGTGATGGATCAGACAACCCGGGGACACGATAGCGCATTTACTGATTTTGTTGAAACTGAAAAAGGATAGGGTAATTTTGAAGTACGTTTGTTGTGTAACACTTCTGAAATGCTACTCCTGAAACCCCTTACAGATAGTAACAATATATATGATATTAAGATCATGCTATGCTAGTGTAGGTGTTATACGCATACCTCACCCACACCGTCCATGACCTGAATCTCCCGCCATCAGGGCATACGTGAGGAAGACCCCCCCCCCCCCCCCCCTAAAATAAAACAACTCCCGTGACCCCCTCTGTTGCCCCCTCCACCGTCTCCATGTATGACCTGACTCAATCGCCATCAGGGTATACGTGACGAACAGCCCCCCCCCCCCCCCCCCCCCCCCCCGTCTTTGACCTGACTCACCCGCCATCAGGGCATACGTGAGGAAGAGCCACCCCCACACCCGTGCCCCCTCCACCGTCTATGACCTGACTCACCCGCCATCAGGGCATACGTGAGGAACAGCCATCCCCACACACGTGTCCCCCTCCACCTTCTATGACCTGACTCACCCGCCATCAGGGCATACGTGAGGAAGAGCCACCCCCACACCCGTGCCCCCTCCACCGTCTATGACCTGACTCAACCGCCATCAGGGCATACGTGAAGAACAGCCACCCCGCACACGTGTCCCCCTCCACCGTCTATGACCTGACTCACCCGCCATCAGGGCATACGTGAGGAACAGCCACCGTATGTCGCTAGCGAGGCTGCTGAGGGCAAACCCAGCGAGTCCCAGCACGCCGCTTACTATGACGCAACATCGGCAGTTCCATCTATTAATGATGAAGCTGGCCACGGGGCCTGAAATGCAAAGGAAAACTCGAATAAGACTTTTTAACTATTGTTTCGTTCCCAAACGAGACGTTAAAATATGGTACTTGTTGTTGCCCTGACTGGCGATTGGCATTAAGGGGCTAACATAAGCTTAAGGACTGATCGGTTCGGAGTCAGTATATACTGTGTCTAAGTGGGGTACCGGTATTCAACTGCGACATGGTATCTCAGTGAGCTAGCACTAAACAAATCAGCATTAGTCCTGACTAGTACAAGCAGCGGCGGACTGTGTCCTATTATACTAGACAGTAGACTGTCTTATTGCACTTGATTTGTTTGCTTGTTGTTTAACGCCGCATTCAGCAATATTCCAGCTATATGACGGCGGTCTGTGTCCTATTGTACTAGACAGTAGACTGTCTTATTGCACTTGATTTGTTTGTTGTTTAACGCCGCATTCAGCAATATTCCAGCATTATGACAGCGATTTGTGTCCTATTGTACTAGACAGTTGACTGTCTTATTGCACTTGATTTGTTTGTTAGTTGTTTAACGCGCACTCAGCAATATTCCAGCTATATGACAGCGGTCTGTGTCCTATTATACTAGACAGTAGACTGTCTTATTGCACTTGATTCATTTGTTTGTTAGTGCTTTAACGCCGCACTCAGCAATATTCCAGCTATATGACAGCGGTGTGTGTCATATTGTACTAGACAGTAGACTGTCTTATTGCACTTGATTTGTTTGTTTGTCAGTTCTTCAACGCCACACTATATGACTGCGGTCTGTAAATAGCCGAGTTTGGACCAGACAATCCAGTGATTGGCAACATGAGCATCGATCCACGCAACTGGGATACGATGACATGCATCAACCAAGTCAGCGAGCCTGACAACCCGATCTCGTTAGTCGCCTCTTACGACAAGCATAGTCGCCTCTCAGACCTATTCTACCCCGGATCTTCACCATATTGGGTCATATGGAGCATATACTAAGAAAATACCTGAAAGTGCAAACATGCAGGAGTAGAGAGAGCCAATCCACGACGTCAGTGTGACGTCATCTTGATACGTCTCTAGAAGAGCCACGTGCATGACGCCAGCAATAACTGAAAGGCTCGTGTTGAGAAAAAGCGCACAAAGTGACGTCACTACCACTACCCATGCCCAAGGCTCGAGATGGTTGGCCATGTTGTTATCCCATCTGGGTCATTCCGTGCCACTGTAATGAAATGTATGCACAATAGGCATGAACTATCCTGAGTAGTTGTTCCAAAGACAGTTCTGGAACTCTCTTTTTTCATGTTAACTCAATGGCATATCCATACTCAATTAACTTTTGTCACCCCTTTCACGATATCCCCATTCAGGGATGATGTCACAATCCATCTTTACGTATATGGCATCATGTGCTATATTTAGAGACAAGGGAAAGTCCATAACACTTTAACTACTTTAGCACCCTATCGCCCCATCTGATTAGCAACAGCGTCAGGCTCCGAGGACCTGTTGATGTGAGCGCTACTTCATGAGAACAAGACAGTGACGAATCGCCCGGAACAAGCATGGCTCCATCAACCACCAGAGTCAAAGAGTTGAATTTAGCGCTGGTGCTACACATTAATTAGGTATACCACGGAGGGCCTAACATGGGAAGACAGAATTCTACCATCACCATTGTGAGTGGTGGTGTTTGACATCTTCCCGAAGCAAGGGAGTTGCCTGACTATAAAAGCCCAGTTTCCACCATTGCCGAACTAGGTTGGAATTACGGAATTATATTTGAGATGGACTAAGGAGTCTATGCATAATCCAATCAAAATCGTGTAACGAAATCGACATCCGGTTCGTAAACTGCCGTGCAGATTTCGGTCGAGTGCAGGATTTGCAAAGCATGTGTCCTGTCCCGGCGTTGACAAGATATTTTACAAATCTTTTCATGTTTTTAATCAAGGTGCCCAAGTAATTTGATACACTTAGCGATGTAAGACCCTTTTATTGCCAAAGAGATCTTGATCGTCTTGACGGGCGCCGCTATTTTGTTTAAAGCAAGTTGATATGATAGGCGGAATGTGATTGGTCAGCAGAGGAACATGGAAGGGACATAACTCGTAATAACCTCAGGTGGCAAGCTCCTCACAGCGATAGCCCGTTCGCGGAGCTCTCTATACTATCGCTGCCACCAGTCAAAACTCCCCACTCTGAATAGGTGGCCACAACCATGCTTGGAGTTGAACTCGCAACCGAATGACCGTTATGTTTACAAACAAGCGACGACTGTCGTGACGCCGAATACACTTATTGTTGATAAATTACTTTCTTCGTTGGTCAATTTGAATTTCTGTTTCATTAAAACTATCGTGTTATTGATATAGTAAGAATGTAAGGGAGAAGTTGGTTGATTTTCCGTTAGTCTGCAATCTCGAACCAACCTGATTATTAAATAAAGAAAGTAAATTCATCTGGAAAACATGGTCAGTCGTAAACCTTTTCAAAATGAAATATGATGGTATTCCCAAAGACATAAACAAAAGTATCAACGTTACTACGTTTGGGGTTAGAAATCCAGTTTAGGCTGGGCGTTGTTTTACGTTTGCGCCTATATATATATACTTTATAGCGCCTATTTATTCATTAGTGTTGGTGGTATGGGAAGGTATACACAGACATTACTTGTAAGACGTTGGACGCTGACAGAATCCCGAAAGCGGTATAACGGGGTATTACGACCACTCGGAGACTCCATGTTGTTGGTGGGCAGACAGGGTTGACGCGCTGGCTCCTTACAGGGAAAGCATGGGTTCGAGAAAGGTTGGTAGTGTGTGAAGCCTGAGTGAAGCCTTCTCGGCGAGGTGTGATAAGGTAAAGTCCCGTAGAAGATTACTTCAGTTATATAGCGAGTATAGACTAACATTTAGTCTCTGAAATCTTATATTACACAATATCCTTCTCGACTCTAAAAATAAAATAAAATAAATATATTCCACGGTCATGGTGCAGGAGTAAGCGAGTGAGTGTGACGTCTTGTCCTAGTTCAGGCTAATGCCGGTTTTATAGTGCTAAACTATTTGAGATTCCGTGCGGCAGTTCAGCATGGATACCCCACTCATGATACTGACTCCGAGCCAACTAGTCTTTGTTTTATGCCGGTAATGCCTAACACTAGGCAAGGCAACAACAAGTATCATTTGGTTACGTCTTTTAACAGTATTATGTCATCTCACATGTGCAACCCGTTCGAGTGGCAACTTAGACAGGTCGGTCGATTTGGGTCTGCATGTCTTTTTTCAAATGTTTTTCATTTTTATTATAGGTGTCACAATCTCACAAGAGCAGCCACCCCCACCCCATCCCCACCCCATCCCCACCCCACACCCAGTACCACATCGCTGGCCTAACAAGTCATAATATGTGCAGGCTTAGTGGACATTAGCGAAGCGCTTCTGATATTCGCTCTTTCGATACACGGTCCATTTTCTGATATTTATTAATAATTTGTACATGGATCTCTAGCTACAAAATATAGTTAGTAAATGTACAGAGAATTTTACATTCATACACATAATATTTTGCCGTAAGTAGAAGATAATTGAGTATCGTTTCGTCGTTGGACACACCAGGATGCCATTCCCTCTTTCGTTGAACGTAAATAAATACATACATGTAACATGGATGCTACTTTTTCTTAAAAAGTCTATAAGGACAACAAAATATAACATACTGAAAAACTTCGATTACCCCGTGAAATAGCTAGAAAATGGAACAGGATCCAATTCACTAGCAGATTCCGGGGTAGAATAGGTCTTCAGCAACCCATTCTTGCCGTAAAAGGCGACTATGCTTGTCGTAAGAGGCGACTAACGGGATCGGGTGGTCAGGCTCGCTGACTTGGTGATGCATGTCATCGTATCCCAATTGCGTGGATCGATGCTCATGATATCCTAATCACTGGATTGTCTGGTCCATACTCGATTAATAACAGACACCGCCATATAGCTGGAGTGCGGTGTTAAACAAACAAACAAACAAACAAGCAAACAAACACACGAACAAAGAAGCAAGCAAACAAACGAACATACAAACAACTGACTGGCTCACTTACCGCCATGGTATTCCGAGGTATGAACTGCACAGAAAACTTTGCACGTATGCAGGGGTCAAAGTGACTGGGTGTCCTAGTTTAATGCAACAGCTGATAAACACGCCTATTTAATAATAGAGATAACGAATTGTTGTCATGTTGAAATCCTTTTAGACCAAACAGTTGCATGTTAGCAATACAAGATAAACAATACAACACTGGTTTGATTAATAGATCTGCTTGAATAAATTCATCAATTCAAATTTTATCAACTTTTTGTTTAAATGCCATCTGCTCTTCAGTCATGCTTAAATGTATATGCGCCTATTATGATAGCTGATGAAGTAGCAGTACATTATGTTTGCCCAGAATTCTGTACGTAAAGGGATTTAGTGTGAAACCAGCAAATAAAGATGAAATGGTATACAAGTAACAATTGTTTAATAAACTAGGTTTATAAATCAATACAAAGTACTACAAAGTAATTACAATGGCAGTACACAATGGAGTGGCAGTATAAAATTCAATGACGGGACAATAGCTGTATAACACACAAAGCAATAGTAATAGCAAAAACATAAGTGATAATAGGTGATGTGAAATGGGGTTTAACGTCGCGTCCATTATTGCACGTGTGTGTGTGGCTGCTTGTACTAGTCCGGACTGGTGCCGATTCATAGTGCTAGCTCACGGAGATACCATGCCGCAGTTTAACATGAATACCCCACTCAGACACAGTATACTGACTCCTAGCCGACCAGTCCTTGTTTTTGCCCCTTAATGCCGAGCGTCAGACAGGGTAACAACAAGTACCATCTTTTAACGTCTTTTGGTATGACGCGGCCGGGGATCGAACCCCGGACCTTCCGTTCTCCGGGCGGACGCTCTACCACTAGACCATGGAGTGATAATAAAGCACTCAGCAACAGTAGTCAAGCTTCCAAAATTGGCCGAGGCGGGATATCCCGGGTGAACACAATGATCTTCACACATCCGCTGGTTTGATGTAATATGAGATGGGAGATGCACGCACTTGCCCCTTTATATACACTCTTCAAAAAAAGAAACGCACATGTAGTATGTTGTTCACTGAATCTGACTACACAAAAACTCCGGTATATAAAATGGGTATACACTCTTCCTATACATTTTCCAATAACTCTTCCAATACATTTTCCAATAACATACATGTAGTCTAAATACTTTCTAGAATGTTCTTATCCATGCTGGATCAGTCTAGCTGTACATGAAGATTCCAGATTATACTTGAGTGGTACCAAAACATCTAAATATAGTAACTTCCACGCCACTGCTTACATTAGCTAGTTCAACATTCCTGACAACTAACCACTGTCAAAGCGCAATACTATGAACTTCTACTGAATCTCAACAGAAACATTGTAATACAATTACAAAATTGCTCAACAATAAATTACACAGCGATATAAGAACGTGCATCAACCACGTCAGTGATTCCGGCCTCCCGATCCCTTCAGTCGCCTCTTACGAAAATAATTGGTACTAAAGACCATTTCTAACCGGGAAGATGAAAAATATCAAGTAGGAGAGTGAGTGAGTTTTATGTTTTTTGTATTTGTTCTTTTGGTGTTGAACGCAATAACTAAATCTGGATCAGACAATCCAGTGATTGACATCATGCGCACCGATCTACGCAGTTGGGATACCGTGACATGCAATCAACCAAGTCACTGAGCCTAACCACCCGATCCATTAAGTCGCCTCTTACGACAAGGTTCTTGGGGACTGATAGTCTTTCCCGGAATCCCCTCGGCGAAATTTGGGTATAGGAATATACTGGATGAGGGAGGGTAAAATATTCACTACGCGTCTAGTTAAATATGGGCAATTGTACCCTCGTGTTCTAAGGGAGGTAACCATGCACGGTGAAGGTCACGTGCCCAGCCTCCTCATCAACTGGAATATTAGTAATTGCCTCAAACGGTGTTTCTCTTTTCAGGTTTCCCCGGCTGTAATTGCCCGTCTCGGTATAAAGTTCGGGGGTGAGGGTGGCGGTGGAGGGGGAATTCTTCTTCCTACTGCATGTTACGAAAGCCTAATGGTGCCACTTTGGTGGTAAAGTTATATATTCTTTTCAAATCGAAATTTCTCGTTTTTTTCAGTTAGTTTCTCGAAATTTTGAGTTCTTTCTCGTAACTTCGATTATTTTCTCGTTATTTCAAGTTTATTAAAAAACCCGTAAAATTTAGATTTTTTTCTCGTTATACCAATTATATTTTCTCACATTCTTTTAAATTATGAAAAAAAAAAATGAATTAACGAGAAATAAAAATAATTGAAATGTCGAGAAATTGTGGATTACCAAAGTGACGGGAACACAAGTCATCAGCGATTTGTTTAAACCTACAAGTAGAGTTTTGACCGACTAAAGTCAATAATCGGAATTTAAGCGCACGTTCGGCTGATCCTTTTCGCGGCAAAAGGACGCGATCCATCAATAATTACACGGAAGACACAGACTAAATCAGTAGTTATTTGTAGGGACCGTGGAATGGTCTAGTGTCAGAAAATTTCGCTAGTAAACCCAGACGCCCATACGAACTTCCCACACTGGAACGATGTAATAATGGGCTGTTCAATAATGGGATATTCAGTACGCATGAGACCCGTGAAGATCCGGGTTAGAATAGATCATCAGCAACCCATGCTTGTCGTAAAAGGCGACTAACTGGATCGAGTGGTCAGGCTTGGTTGATGCATGTCATCGTATCCCAATTGCGTGGATCGATGCTCATGATGTAAATCACTGGGTTGTCTGGTCCAGACTTGATTATTTACAGACCGCCGTCATATAGCTGGAATATTGTTGAGTGCGGCGTTAAACAAGCAAACAAACGAACGAATAAACAGTACGCATAACAAATGATGTAAGGCTTTGTGCATTCTGGTTCAGAACAGCTGCACAGTACCTCATGCATGTCGTGCATAATTATATCGCTGATTGTTTATCATTGTACGAAGAATCGTGTACGATCATCCTATTAATCAATGTTTTGCCTGGCGAAACTCAGTTGTTTACGGGGAGTAGTGATATAAGCTGACATACTGACCAGAGACGTGAGAGGGAGGTTTCGCCGCTACCCGTATACACACACACACACACACACACACACACACACACACACACACAGCAACGTTGTACTTGAAATTGCCCTTTCATATCAGCTTAAGCTTGCTCTAGATTTTCACCCGTTTGTGTACACTGATAAACAAACACTGGATGAGCTGAGACAGAAATCGGTGTCATGTACCGTTGTTGGTAGTTAATTTGGTCTAAAATCGTACAATCAGGACTCGCACACTGGTCGCATGTGACCACGTAACGTAAAGAATAATAGAACGGTTTGCAGAAACAAAAACACTCTGATAAAAGCACAATGTAACACTACCACTTACCATTGCCTTTGTTCGAATGCGTTTACAATGAACCGGTGTAACGCGCAGTGTGTCCCTCTGGTGAAAATATCCGCCTGCAACATCTGTCACGTGAGGTTTAGGTGATAATGCTCCTGCGCAGTTACACATCTCGAATAAGATAAGTCCTTCAAGTCTCGTTTGACGATATTGTCATGTGTGCACTATAATAAGAAGGTTTTGTATTTATACAACATAATATTTCAACATATCGAGAATTATCCATTCCAGGCTCTTTCATCAGAAATTAAAGTCCGGCCTACGAACGTGCAATATGTGTATTATGATATGAAGGTTTTTAGGTACGTGTCGGGACGGGACGGTTAGAGAGGGAGGGGGTGGTTGAAGGGGACGGGGTGGTTAGAGAGGGAGGGATGGTTGAAGGGGACGGGACGGTTAGAGAGGGAGGGATGGTTGAAGGGGACGGGGTGGTTAGAGAGGGAGGGGGTGGTTGAAGGGGACGGGGTGGTTAGAGAGGGAGGGGGTGGTTGAAGGGGACGGGGTGGTTAGAGAGGGAGGGGGTGGTTGAAGGGGACGGGGTGGTTAGAGAGGGAGGGGTGGTTGAAGGGGACGGGGTGGTTAGAGAGGGAGGGGTGGTTGAAGGGGACGGGGTGGTTAGAGAGGGAGGGGTGGTTGAAGGGGATTTACGGACCTGTAAATTACTGTCAGGCCAGAACAGATGTTATGTGTCGGTTTCTCATTCACAGTTTTCTCAGAGAAGTTCCATTACGTCGGTTATATCCAAGCTATATGACGGCGTACTGTAAATACGTCAGTCTAACCCAGATATGCCAGTGATCAAGCCACTGAGCCGGGCCACCTGATGCACTACGTCGCCATTTACAGTTGCTGGGGACCAATTCTAACCCGGAGTGAAGTGACTTTCCTATAACGCCTCTTTGCACAGTAGTCTAGTTAGAGGGAGGGAGTGGTTAGAGAGGGAGGGAGTGGTTAGAGAGGGAGGGAGTGGTAAGAGGGAGAGGATGGTTGAAGGGAGTGGGGTGGTCTGAGAGGGAGTGGTTAGAGAGGGAGGGAGTGGTTAGAGAGGGAGGGAGTGGTAAGAGGGAGAGGATGGTTGAAGGGAGTGGGGTGGTCTGTGAGGGAGTGGTTAGAGAGGGAGGGAGTGGTTAGAGAGGGAGGGAGTGGTTAGAGAGGGAGGGAGTGGTTAGAGAGGGAGGGAGTGGTTAGATAGGGTGGGAGTGGTTAGATAGGGAGGGAGTGGTAAGAGGGAGAGGATGGTTGAAGGGAGTGAGGTGGTCTGAGAGGGAGTGGTTAGAGAGGGAGGGAGTGGTTAGAGAGGGAGGGAGTGGTTAGAGAGGGAGGGAGTGGTTAGATAGGGAGGGAGTGGTAAGAGGGAGAGGATGGTTGAAGGGAGTGGGGTGGTCTGAGAGGGAGTGGTTAGAGAGGGAGGGAGTGGTTAGAGAGGGAGGGAGTGGTTAGATAGGGAGGGAGTGGTAAGAGGGAGAGGATGGTTGAAGGGAGTGGGGTGGTCTGAGAGGGAGTGGTTAGAGAGGGAGGGAGTGGTTAGAGAGGGAGGGAGTGGTTAGAGAGGGAGGGAGTGGTTAGATAGGGAGGGAGTGGTAAGAGGGAGAGGATGGTTGAAGGGAGTGGGGTGGTTATAGAGGGAGTGGCTTGGTTCGAGATGGTGTGAGTGGTTCGAGAGGGGGGTGGGTGGGAGTGGTGGTGGTAAGAGAGGGAGGGGGTTGTTGAAGGGGTGGGTTTGTTAGAGAGGGAGGGGGAAGGTTCGAGATGGTGTGAGTGGTTCTAAAGAGAGGGAGTGGTTAGAGAGAGAGGGAGGGGATGGTTGAAGGGGGTGTGGGTGGTTTAGAGAGGGATAGGGTTTGTTCGAGAAGGTGTGAGTAGTTCGAGAGAGGGGGGTGGTTAGAGAGGAAAGGGTGGTTCGAGGGGTTGTGGTGGTTAGAGAGGGGGTGGTTCGAGATGGTGTTCGTTGTTCGATAGAGTGGGGTGGTTGGAGAGGGAGGGGACGGTTGAAGAGGGCGGGGTGGTTAGAGAGGGTGATGATGGTTGAAGGGGATGTAGTGGTTAGAGAGGGAGGGGGTTGGATCGAGATGGTGTGAGTTCGAGAGAGTGTTGGTTAGAGAAGGAGGGGGTGGTTGAAGGGATTTGGGTGGTTAGAGAGGAAGAGGGTTGTTGAAGGGGGCGGGTTGGTTAGAGATGGAGGGGGTGGTTGGATGGGGTGGGGTCGTTTGAGAGGGAGGGGGTGGGTTGGTTAGAGAGGGAGGGGGTAGTTGAAGGTGGTGGGGTGGTTAGAGAGGGAGGGGGTGGTTGGATGGGGTGGGGTCGTTTGAGAGGGAGGGGGTGGGTTGGTTAGAGAGGGAGGGGATGGTTGAATGGGGTGGGGTCGTTTGAGAGGGAGGGGGTGGGTTGGTTAGATAGGGAGGGGATGGTTGAATGGGGTGGGGTCGTTTGAGAGGGAGGGGGTGGGTTGGTTAGAGAGGGAGGGGGTAGTTGAAGGTGGTGGGGTGGTTAGATAGGGAGGGGATGGTTGAATGGGGTGGGGTCGTTTGAGAGGGAGGGGGTGGTTGGATGGGGTGGGGTCGTTTGAGAGGGAGGGGATGGTTGAAGGGGGTTTGGGGGTTAGAGAGGAAGGGGTGGTTGAATGGGGTGGGGTCGTTTGGGAGGAAGGGGTGGTTGAAGGGGGTGGATTGGTTAGAGAGGGAGGGGGTGGTATAAACTATAAATGTATAAACTTTCAGTTGCGTCAGTTTTAGAGGGATCCCGCCTTTTTGGGCCCTCATCTTTGCACATATACATGTGTATAACAAAAGTTAGGGAAAGTCATATTCGTATCAATGTCACATGCAAATCACTGACGACAGAAGGATATGGTTTAAACATATCTTTATTTCAACTGAAAATTGGGATCGGTAAACAAGACAGCGCTTATTTAAATACCTCTGCCTTCACAGAATTCATGTAACAAAGATGGTCAATGCGTTTACAAAATATTTAGTATACACAAAAATACCATGGTGGTCAGTTATCAAGCATAATCAATAGTGTCCGGTTTTGATAGTCAGAATTGTTTTTCGTTGTATAAAGTACTACATAATATACACAAGATACGTAATATATATTATATGTGAGAGTTTGATGTATTATTTAAGTCTAAATCTACCAGAATTTGTGATGAAAGTATGGACAGATAGACGAATTTCTTGATTTGCTTCAGATGATAGGCCTTCACATCCGTAAAGTACTGTATCTATATCATATCCTTTCATATAATATAATAAGTTCTTCTAATTTGATCATAATTGCAACAAAGAAGTAGTGTCGCGGGTCTTCATAGTGCTGACCACAGGAACAATCTGGGCTGTCAGTTATGAATCTATCGAATTTATGTCCGTTTAGGTCGCTACATCCGAGTCTGAGGCGGCAGTGGAAAATTTGGCGGAGTGTGGTTCCAAAATCTGTATTAAAGAAATATTTGTAATTGTTATTACACGATAATACATTTGGAAACTCTGAGTAAGAGCCACTAGATTTAATTCTTCAGATAGATTATTCCATAATTTTGTGGAGTTAGGTAAAAAGGATTTTGCGTAGTGTTGTCTTACATCTTATCATTTGGAGGTCTGAGGAGTTGCGAGGTTCTAATCACTGCGAGCGTTAACTTGAACTGGGATTAGGTTGCAGAGATAAGCTGGCGCTAAATTGTTGGCCATTTTGTAGAATAAAGAGTGACGATAGTTTCAGATTTGTTTCTGTATACAATTGTGTGTGGCTTGTGCTCCTTGTTGCATCATCACATATGGTTCTTAAAACATCCAGATTTAATTTTTCCGTGATCTTTAGAACAATTATTCCAAAGTATACTACAATAATCGAATATTGGTATGATGAATGATTTATACATAATTTCGAGACTTTTCCAAGAGCGGCGGTATTTTAAACTTCTAAATCACGTTTATCATCGGACTGACTCTTAATACAATACTATCTATATGAGAATGCCAGTGAGTATCACGCTTGAGAACTACGCCTAAATGTTTATGCATTTCAACTTCTTTCACAATGATTCCATCCATTAGGAGATTTGGTTTATTTAACAGTACCGTCTTGAAATACTTCTGGGTTTTTCAGGGTTAAACTTCACTTGCCACGTTTCAGCCCAGTTGGAGATTTCGATCAGATCATTGTTTAACGCTGAGGCTGCTGTGCCCAGGTTTTCGACATCGATATACAGGGATGTATCGTCAGCAAAGAGTCGGATATTACTATTTATCATCCAAAACTGGCTCCCATTCAAAAGACACTCGGAAGAGATTCTCTATTTATTTTATCAACTACATCATTTATGTAAATCAAGAACAACAGCGGACCAAGAACAGACCCTTGTGGTACTCCAACCAGTATAAAGTTTAATTTGGATTTATATCCGTTGGTAACTACTCTTTAAATTCTATCCATCAAGTAACTTTCAAACCATTTTAATAACGTTCCCTTGATACCATAAGTCTCTAGTTTGTTTACTAATCTACGGTGCCAAACCTTATCAAAAGTCTTACTTATATCACAAAAGACTGCCCTAACTTCCTTACCATCATCAACGGCTTTTAAAATAGAGTCATGCAAGTAGATCAGTTGGTACGTCGTTGAATCACAAGGGATAAAACCCGACTGGAGAGTACTTAGAATTTCATTATCTCTAAGGAAGTTGAATACCTATTTAAAGATACATTTTTCCAGTGCTTTGGCTAAGCAGCTTGTGAGTGCAATAGATCTGTAATTAGAACTTTCGTTTTTACTACCCTTCTCGGATATTCACGGACCGACAGCAACTCGCACGTTCCTTGTAACCGACATTTACTCGTATGCTCTCTTTATCCGATAAGTATTCACAAGCTCTCTTAAACCGACAGTAACTCGTATGTTCTCTTTAACCGAAGATACTCGTATGCTCTCTTTAACCGACAGTTCCTCGTATGTTCTTTATAACCGAAGTTACTCGTATGTTCTCTTTAACCGACAGTTCCTCGTACGTTCTCTTTAACCGACAGTTACTCGTATGTTCTCTT